CCCTGTCCTGATCCACTCCTGTGGTCCCGATCCACCCAGCAGAACCTCCCAGGGGAGACAGGCTCTCGTTTCCAGCACTGCACAATTCACCTTTCATAGATGCCGTGGCAGAATCTGAATTACCTTCTACTGTTTAATAGCTGCACAGTTGTTGGTTTTTCTCCTTCTGTCCCTCAGAATTTATAGCCAAATTAGGCAATTATTGATTTTTTTCCCCTTTTATCAAGTTACACTCAAGCCAGCCTGTGGAACAGCAAATGCTCAATGGGTCCCTCTTGACATCTGTTTGTCTGATCAATCTGTGCAGGGAAAAGGCTCCTGCAGTGTCTGATCCCACCACAGTGCTGAACAGGGACACTTTGACTCTTTGTGGGGCTTTGAGACATTTGCTGTTCCAGTCCTCATTGGGTTTGTTTGCTTTAGCTTGTAACAACACACTCCGGTGTTTTTAAATCAGGGAATTCTCGGGGAGGGGTCAGTTCTGAGCTGGGCATGGGATGACACAGGCTGGGGGACATGGGGAAGGTGCCCTGTGACCCACGAGGGGTCTCTGAGGGTCAGTGCCCCACTGCCCTTGGTTCTCAGGCCCCTCTAACCCCCATGGGCAGGGCTGGAATGAGCCCCTCCAGCAAGGAGCGAGCGAGGTGCCATGTCCATGTCATCACTGACCTGCAAGGACAACCACAGGCGGAGATCTATGCGTGAAAATGGCTCAAACTTCCCTGCCCCGTGAGAGTTCCTGCAGAGGAGCCCAGCTGGGTGCAGAGGGATGCTCCAGGTGATGCTGCTGAAGGAGCAGAGCCAGGGCTGGGTGTTAATGCAGATCCCTGGCTCTCCCTCCTGCAGTGGCTTTCATCTCTCCAGTGCCACCCCCGTGGTGCCTCCACGAGTCACCCAGGATGGTTTTGGTGTGGCTCTGTCACCCAGCTTTGTCCATGCTGCTCCTTTTAAAGCTTGCCCTGGCCAGGTGAGGGGGCGATGCTCCTTTATTTATCTGTGTGCATGCAGGGAAGCTGTGCTGCCATCAGAGATGTCCCATGTGTGCTGCCAGGGGGTCACAGTGACAAGCTGGCAAGGCACAGCCTGGGGTGGGAGGCAGCACCAGGACATTGCTGTGTGCCATGTCAGGGGAAGAAAATGTGCAGAGGGAAATGTCAGCAAGGTATTTTTATTACATGGTGAGAGGGGTGGTGTGATGCAATTGCGAACGGGAGGCCCCGGTCTTCTCGTGCCTGTGTTTTCTCATGCAAGTCTTTATAGATGTTGCATGACTTTCAACTCTGCTCTTATCTCTGCCCCCAGAGGACATAATTATTGCTAGTCTGACTATGCCAGTACAAATGTTTGATGGTGAATAATATTTTTGAGAACTGAATTGCCACTTGTTTCCTAATTAAAACCCAACCTCCTCATCATGTCAGCTATTTGCAAAAGGGAACACGATGATGATAAGCTACATTGAGGCTCTACCTGCCTGAGGTGGCTGAAGTGGCTTTGTTAAAAGTATTCAGGAGCAAGCAGGAGGGATCCACAGAGATGCAAAAGAGCTTCTCCAGGAGGTCAGAGCTGAGAAGCTCTCCCCACGCTGGGATTTGGGGTGCCAAATGCAAGGGCACTGTGAGGGCAGAGGCTGCCTTCTGTAAAACTGCTCCTCCTGGAACAGACAGTGAATAAAAGCAGCAGCAGCCATGGCCATTAATTACTCTATTTGTTTTCCACATTGCCTCTCACCACTTATTAGCGCAGCACTAAGGAGATGGGATGCAACCCCAGCCTGGGTGTGGATGCTGCAGAGGAATGAATGCCTGTGGGACTGGCATGGATGTGCCACTGCAGGGGAGAGGGGCCAAAGCCACCCCAGGGCCTGGCAGAGTGCAGAATCTGACAGGGAGAGGGGATGCAGTGAGGTTGTTTCTTTGGGATGCTGGGGTAAAGCTGTGAGAGCAGTGAGGCTGCGGGATGGGGAGTGCTGGTGTTGGAATTCCCAGGAATGTATTTGTATTTCTTCCTGTCCTACTGGCCTCAGGCACTGCAGCCCTGCTGCCTGATGAATCCTCACACAACCTCATGAAGCAGGAGCTGCTTCCCCTCCAGGTAACCCCAAGCTCCTTGGGAACACTGAGGTGAGCGTGGGGAAAGGGGTTCTGTTCTCTCCCCTTCAGTCAGGCACCCCAAAAGTACAGCCAGAACTGCAGCACAACATAACCTTGCTATAAACAAGCCACAGAGAGTCAGATTCCCGTGGGGATCCATCACCAATAAATGATTCTCCACCAGTGCTGCCAAGGAGGAGCAAATAATTTGTCCTCTCTCTGGAGAGCAGCAGCCCATGAAGGGAACTGAGCTAAACACTCCTTGATACTCTCAATCTCCACCTATGTGCATTTCTGGCAGTGTATCAGAAATATTAGTAAAAATCGGATTAAAAATAATATTTAATAATCTTTTATGTGAACATCTCCCTCGAGAGATGTTGCTGGCATCAGCACAGAGAGGAGATCTTATTTGATATGGGATTTGGCACAGCTGGGAGGGCAACAGGACGGATGTGGTTCCGTCCTGGGTAATGTGTTGCAGCATTATCTTGATGGGATGGTGTCAGTGTGGGACGCATTAATAAATCTACAACAGCCTCGTAGCTCTCTGGAATATCATCTGTCACACTGTGAAGCAGAGCAGGGCAAAATTAAACATTTAAATCTCACACAGATGGTGGGAGGAACTCGCTCCTCGGAAGGAAGGAGCAGCAGAGGGGAGGTTGTGTTCCTGGCTCCGCAGTGGATGCAGAGCCTGCAGCCCAGCCAGGCCTCGAGACACGCTTAAATTGACTGAGCAGCATCCATCACCATCCAGAAATGTCAGGAGATACTTAAATGCATTCAGAGTGCATCGTGTTCTGACCTCTGCTAACCCCGGCATCGATTAACTCTGGGTTTCCTTTACCTGGGGGAATCCCCAGAGCACTGTTTATAAACATTCACAAACACCAAGCCCAACACAGGAGGCATAAAACAACACAAGAACAACGCAAACATTCGGCCTGGGATGCAACACAGGCTAAGGAAAGCTGCAGGTTTGCACTTGGGGAATTGAACTTCCCTGAAAAGGAGGAGGCTGGCACTGACAGGGGAAAAAAAATCAGGTTTGATTCCACTCGGTTATTAAAAAATACCTGTCCCAGTGACCTTTAAAATATCTGAATATAACACCAAAAAATGCATGTGTTGCTGGAGGTGAGCATGGATAGCCTGATGTGGGCCAGGGCCTGGGGTGGCTCTGGGGACGTGCCACCACCTCTGACTGTGCTGCAGCCACACTTGGGAATCAGCAGAGCAGAAAACACCTTTGCTTATCACTCACCACCACCCTGGTGGCTGCTGCCACACCAGCACCAAGAGCAGAAAGAACAAATTCCTTAACTTGGCCCTCACCAGACCTCACTTCCTAGAAACTGTCACCAGGAATGCGTTTGACGTCTACACAACAACAACATCCAGCTAATAACGGTGAAAACGTGGCACAGCAGTGAACAGGAGAGCATCAGGAATCCTAAGGGGCATCTTGGTGGCTGCTTTTGCCGTCACCACCCCTGCAAAGCCATCCAAACCTCTGAGCAAACACAGGGCCCTCCTCACCCGGGCGATGGTTTCTGTTTGCTTGGGGTGTTTAGCAACACCCTCAGGTCAGCGCTGAGATCCTCCCCGTGTGCTGCTGCTGCTTCAGGGGATGAAACCCTTTCATTCCATGGATTTGGGCAGAGGAGCTGCAGGAGCCAAAACTGGGGAGTCCCCTGGGAAGAGCCAGCACATGGCATGTGTCCAGTCACATCACCAGGCTGAGGATGTGAGGGGAATTTCCCTCCCATCACACCCCTGCAAATGCAGAGCCCGTGTGGAGGCTCTGGAAGAACTTTTGGGGAACCACAGCCAGCCCCAACAGTCCTGCCAGCCCAGGGGATTTCAGGAGATAAAAATGCTCCTTTCCACGGTGTAGCTTGGATCAGTGAAACCTTTAAACAGGGCTGGTGGGAGGCTTTACCCTGAACTTCCAGGAGGGATGTCCCCCACGTCTTCCTCTGCTCCCTTCCACGCTTGCTTGGACACCCTGAGCCTCAGCTTTGCTCTGGGGCCACTGGTGGAGGAGAAGCCTTCCCCAATGGATCTGTTCCGGTGGAAAGTGTCGGCTTAAATTAAAATTTTCAACAAAAAGCAGGTTCTCAGACGGCTCATAATGAGGCACATGGTGAAATCCTCCCAGCTGTATGCTCTACCTCGCTTTAATCAGATCATTAACTTTCATAAAGATGTAGGCAGGAGGAGTGGCGGCACTTGAAAAGAACTCAAAACACGCTGAGTTTCAAACTTCAGACTTGTCATTGACTTAGCCTTTCATTGAGCCAATTATTTATGACATATTTGATGAAATTCAGAAAAGAAAGCACTTAAAATCTGCATATCTGCTTGGCTGCAGTGGAGCTACTACTACTTGAAGGAGGAACACGAGCAGGGATCTCTGCTCGGAGCCTGAGGACACCTGGGTGCCTTGTTTTCATCGTTATTTGCCAGCAAGTGGTTCAACGAGCACCGATGGGGCGTCACACAGACAGCATTTATTTGTATCCTGTTTTTGCTATGCACGCGTTTTAATAAATTATGAGGAAATTAATTCTGAATTTATGCGTCCAACTGGGTGCTGAGGCTTTGCAGGCAGCTCCGCGGCTGGAGCTGCCTCTGCTGCTCCCCTTTTGCGGAACCGCGGAAGTTTGGCTTGAAAGAACCTAAAATTCCCATCCCACCCCTGGGTAGGGACACCTTCCACTACCCCAGGCCGATCCGAGCCGTGCCAAACCTGGCTTGGGACGCTTCCAGGGATCCGGGGGCAGGCACAGCTTCTGTGCCAGGGCCTCGCGTCAGAGCGGGCCCCCGGCACCGCGACCCCCGCTCGGTGCCGCGGGCGGTCCCCGCTCCGGCCGCCGCCGCTCCATGTCCGCGTTTCTCGGCCGCACCGGCGGAGCCGCCGCCGCCGCCCGCCGCCAACCCCCGCCCCGGGGGCGGCTGCCCCGGCGGAGCCTCCATCTGCAGCCCGGCGGCGGAGCGGGAACATGGCGGACCTGGAGGCGGTGCTGGCCGATGTCAGCTACCTGATGGCGATGGAGAAGAGCAAGAGCACCCCGGCGGCCAGGGCCAGCAAGAAGATCACCCTGCCCGAGCCCAGGTACCGCCCGCCCCGCCGCGGCCCCGGCCCGGCCCCCGCCGCCCTCCCCGCTCCGGACATAACGGTCCGGCCGTGCCCCCGCGGCCTCCGCCGGCACCGGGGCCGGCCCTGGCAGCGCGGGGCCGGGCTGGCTGTGCTGCATGTGTGTGCTTTAATGTGTGTGTTTATTTGCCACAACTTGTGCGGGTTCCCTCGGCGGGTGAAGGGGGGACGCCGCTCCCCGCAGGGACGAACGGGGGTTTATGGATCCCCTGCCCGGTGCTCCGTCCGGCGGGCGAGGAATTCCGTCCGGAGCGGTCGGTGGCAGCGAACGGAGCCGCTCTGGCCGTGCCGCTCTGCGGAGCGGTTTTTCGGTGATGCTTCACGGGGTTTGACAGGGGATGCGGGAGGAGGACGGGGCCGGAGCTCGCCCTTAGCAGGCGGCTCACGGAGCAGAGGTGCTGCTGCAGCTCCGGGCTCCGTCGCCCCGACCTTCCCCGGTCCCACCGCGGCGGCAGGAGGGTGCCCTGGCACAGCCGAGGTTGTTTGCTTGGGGCTTGGTGCTAAAAGCAGCTTTTCTTCTGCAAAAACAGCTTTTTTTCCCGTGGTTATGTGTTGGTTATAAAATCACCTGAGCATCGCTTGTTTATTGCTGAAATTAAAACTGAGCTTTTCCTTTTTTTCGTGGCTCTGTGTATGTGTACATATATATACATACATAAAATGAAGATTTGGCCAGCAAACAAAATACTGCAACAGGAAAAATCTAAACCAAATTTTACTGCAGAATGTGTAGGCAGTTTGGAAGCCTGCTGGTGGCCTAGCCTAGCTGTCTGCTGTGAGCCAGGGATCGCTGGAGCCCTCTTCCCACTTCTTCACTCGTTTTCCTGCCTTTCTGCTGGAATGCTGGGAGGCTGCAGAGCAGGGGAAGGTGGAGGATGCTCTGCCCGTGTTTATCCCCCTTGCAGGGGCAGTGAGAGCTCAGGTGATGAAGTTTGCCTGTTGTGTTTAAGGTCTGGTCGAGGATGGTGCTGCTGGCCAGACAAAGGTGCCTGCTTTTCTCCTGGTGTGTGTTTACACTTCAAAAAATATCCATGACATTTCATCTGCCCTGTTAGCCCGAGGTGCAGCTTTGCTGGGGGTGCTGGTGGCTTCATGTGCCTCTGGAGATGCCAGCGCTGTCCTCGGTGATGTGCCAGCGGTGCTGCTCCCTGTTCCCAGCAGGGATGTGGGCAGGTAAAGGTGGGATGTGGAGGGTTGCAGGGCAGGAGGAGTCCTCCCAATGCCATGAGAGATATCAGCACGGTTGGTGCTTGTGGAGAGGCTGGAAGCTGCTGCCTGCACCGACATCCCTCGTGCCCAGCGCGGTGGAAGCCTCATAGCAAGCACAGCACGAGGCCCGAGGAACCTGCTGTGCTTTGCTCTCCTGCTCCAGGATTGACGTGCTTCGTGGTTTCCCTGCGCTGGGGGAGATGGTTCACCTGTGTTTGGCCCCACAAGGTGGGAGAGGCAAGCCAGGTGCCAGAGGAAGTTTTGCAGGGAAGGCGGAAGGATCGGTGGCCAAAGTGCCTCGCTCCTTGGGATGCCTGTGGAAGGACCTGTTGGTGTGAGATATTAAAGGAGAAGCGTGGTGTGTGATGCTCTGCAGGAGGTGAGAAACCTTCAGTGAGGAGAGGTTTGGGGCTGTACAGGGACACGCCAGGCCCTCGGCACAGGAGCGGAAGGAAGCACGGACACAACCGAGCACAGGGACTTACCTCAGCCCCGGACCACAAACGGCTCTAGGGTGCCCAAAATGACTGAACCTCTCAGCTTCTAACTGAAACCAGGGATTTCCTCATACAGTAGGAAATGGTGACCGTTATTCTGGTGTCAGATATCTTTGTGCTGGCTTCTGGCTGGTTTTTTTGATCCCTCTCATTAGAGCAGACATGGTGTGCTGGGTATACTGAAATATTCTGTATCGCTGGCAAAGTGATTCATTTAAAATGACATAAATCGGCTGGTTAAAGGCAGGTTGATATAGTAACAGGAAAAAAATACAACACACAGAGTCCTCTCTTGTTTGAAATCAAACAATTTTTCCAGATATTCCTTATTTCTGTGTGTGTGTGAGCAGCTCCTTGGAGGAGCCTGAGCCCGGCTCTGTAACACTGGGTGTGCAGCCATCCCCGCCATCAGTCCTGGCTGTCACTGGGACAGAGAGCAGGAAGGTCACTGGAATATCACATCTGCTTGAGAATAAATGCCCCTGCATTATTGCAGTGCTCTGCTCACAGGAAGGTGTTGGTTTATCTCTGGTGGGCAACCACAGCCCAGGGACGGCTCCTGTGCCCTGGTTTTATCTCCTATTGAAATATTAGAAAGGTTTTACCCCTCGTCTCCTTGCTGGAGCCCAGTACACCTGTCGGCACCCTTTTATCTTTCCTAGATAAGGCTGATGCTAAATGAAGCAAATGAGTTTACTGTAATGCAAATTTGAGGGGGCTTCCTGTTTACAAGGAAATAGCTGTAGTGCCGGCAGAATGAATTCCAAGGCTGCAGGCCAAGGCTTAGCAGCAAATAAACTATGAGGGTGAAGAGTTTATTGGCCGTAGGGCTGATTATTGCTGAGTTTTCCTGAATTATCCTCAGACTGGTTTTGTCCTGAAATCGTTAAATATCACAGTTTGGGGAGGAAGCACAGAAAACACTAATGAGCCGGGGAGTGCCTAAGGAAGAGGATTAGTGTGTTTTTGTTTTTGTTAAGCACCAAAACAAAACAACCCTTCTTCCATCCTCTGTCATCTGCTTTTCCTTCCCTTCTGCATTTCCTCCTTTGGTTCCTAAGAGCATTGCCAAGAGCTGTGAGAGCTGTGGTATCTTTCTGCTGTACATTGTTTCCTAAAAGCCTGTTTTTCAGGGAGATTCGCATGGGTGGGCAGAAAGGCTGTCAGAGGCAGAATATCCTGCTGAAATCAGGCCTGGAATGGGAAGGAAGTCAGCCCTGTGGAAATAGGAGCAAACATGAAACCTAAATCTTATCCTGCAGCATTGCTCTTAAATATCTTGAGTTTTGGTGGGAAATGAGTAAATTAACTGCATTCTGAATTTTTCTGCTATTCAGCAGGCTGCTGAGGGTTTTTACTTTTCCATGTCGATTTTACATTTCCCTTATTTTGGTCAGAGGGAGTGGAAGAGCACTATAGAACAGCTGTTTTTATTTGCCAGCAGCTTGTTCTGGTTTGAGTAAAGGATTTGCGTAATGTGAAGCTGAGAAAAATGGTCCAAGAAATCAGGTAACAAATGGGAGAGGGTTCAGGGCTTGCAGAAACCTCTTGTGTGCGCCTCTGGAAAGTTGACATTAAACCTTTCTTGCTATAAACATCACGTAAGCTTTGGGTGCTTTTGGTATACAAATACCACGGGCATGGTAACAAAACACAGCATCCATCTGTCCAGGGTTCGCTCCCTGAGGCTGTAGATACTTCTCATCCCATCTCTCCTTTTCTAACCTGCTTTCACTAATTACCTCTATTTCAAGTTAATTCTGATTTTTCTCCCAATCTTTTTATTTGGTTTCCTGTGTTCCCCTGAATCTTGTTGGAGCATGTTGCAGTCACTTCTTTTCTTAAAAATCATGCTTTTAACATGAGATTTTCCCTCAGTTATCATCTCATCTTCACTTCACTTGTAGGGGTGAATTCTGGCCCTTGGTACCCAGCTGCTTTCTCCTAGGGTGGTTGATGTGCCCTTTGCTTTCTTACCCAGTATTCAAACTGGCTTGTTAAAACTCTGATTGAGGGTTTTTGAAAACACAGAGGTTAATTTGCCTTCTGAATTCCCAATTCTATCCTGAGCTATTTGTAATTTCTTTTCCTCCTCTATTTGTGCAGAATATTGTTGAAATCCAAGCGACATCTCCCGCTCAGGGTTAAGCATCATTGCTCTGTTCTCTCTTGCTTCTGATTTAGTAATTCTGTGCTCTTGGCATTACTTTGCTCTTTCTGTGGATTTCACTTCATTCTTTGAGGTGGCCTTCAGGGATTTCTTGCACCTTGTGAAACTTCTGTAAATCTCCAAGTTGCAGGCTCACGTTCCCCTGTCTGAGCTGTCAGTCTGGGTGACTTTGGTGGTGTTTTCTCTGGCATTGTTTAACGCCTCCGTGTTGTGTTTATTCATTTACCCTGCTGTCTCTGGGAACGTTTTCCTGACAATTGCTTGTGTAATTTTCATTTTTGTTGCTGTTTTGCCCGTGTCAGCCCTCTGTGTCTCTCTAGGTGCTTTTTTGTTGCTGTAAGGAAACTGTTCAGTTTCGGGCACCTTCCTGGGTAGCTCCTTCCAATCAATGCTTGACAAGCATTTCCATTAAGAAATTCTTTCTGATATCCAAAATCTGAAGCTTAAATGAGTAAGCTGAAGCCTATCTGGCTATCTGCATTGCTAGTGTGAAAAGGCACATGTGAGGGTTCATGGGGGGGCTGCTTGAGGAAGGGGAAAAATTTGCTTTTTTCTGAGCTAACGGTACAAGAAAGGCTGAACACTTGTGATTTTTGGTGGATTAGCTGAGGGTGAGAGAGAGTAGTGAAATTTTGATTGGAAATTCAGCCTCCCTGCTTTGCCATCAGCAGAAGTGTGTGGTTGTGAAGGCAGTAAGAAATGGCTCTCTCAAAATAATTGGGTGTGCATACAGAATGCTGGGGCTGCTGACAACGTGTACTTGCTTTTTATCTCAAGTCAGCTTTGTACTCCAGCACTTTCTTGGGAAGAATACATGCCTGGGGATGGATTATGGCCTGTCAGTGTAGGAGGCTGCATGGGAGGGCTCCTGCTTGCTGTGGGTGCTGCTCTTGGCTCTGTTTGGGTGCTCATTCTCTCTATTGGGAATTCAGTTTTTACTGTACCTGCAGTGTCCCACACCCTGATAACAGACAGGCCTCTGCAGCAGAGCACAGGAGGGTGAAAGTCCTTTGCAGAGCTTTAAGAGACAAGGGATGAGAGTCTGGATGAAGGACAGCTTGTTATTATCTGTATTGCACAGA